CACATGGTTTATCCACCACTAACGAGAAACTACGTGGACGTAGAGGTTGTACGGTCATTGGGATCCTGCTGACAGACTTCCACACCGCCATCTGCATTGTTTACCTCCCTGACCTCAACACATCCATTTCACGCCACACTGAGCATTGCCTAATCACATTGTTTCGTGCCAATTTGCTCCGATTCGCCTTCTCCCATCACGTCCACTACCTTTTGCCCTCTTCGGATCATCAGCCACATTTGGAAGATAATGAGTGAACGGATATGCGAGTGAGTGCAACGAATGTCACAAACACACTCGTTGCATTTCAAAGCACTCGTCTACTCACATGGCTACTTCGAGAGAATGTCACTAACATGTCATCTCGCCTATGCCACACACACTAGTCTTCCCCACACTCTCCCACCCGATACTTCTCTCGGCTTCCAAACCACCTCTGCAAACATCTCCAAGTCCGTAGTACAGACATTTGTGCGGATGCCTGCCAATTGCCTACTGAATGAGGGAGGCTGTGAACACTCATGCTCACACACGAAACCACCTCATAGCCTTCGGACGCCACAACATATGCCGTGTGGTCAATGTGCTCTACACCAAAGTGATCTCATTTACAGCGTGGGTTATTTGCTTCGCACGTCACAACCACATAAGTTCTTGCAACGAATGTCTGTTGTACTTGCACTGCACTCCCAAAATGCGCTTTCCGTCAAACGTCGCTGCAGTTTTTGCCAGTGGTGTTTGTCATTTCCTTTATAATTGGCATGCACTGGTACTCGTGAATACACGACCAATGCGACTGCATGCGTGGCAGATGTCGAGGTAATATGACACGCAAGTGCGGCACAGGCAACATTGCGAAGTTGAGTGAAGTTGACACCCACACAGCCACCCGAGTCCACGTTACACAGCAGCACCAATCGCAGCTGCTCGTGAATGTTATATAAGGCAGACTGGCAAGCATTGGAATCAGCTTGTGCAACTAGCAACGATGAAGACTTGTCTCGCATTCCTCCTGCTATCACTCATCTACTTGGCCCTCGTGGAAAACGCGGCACCTGCTGCAGGTGAAACAGTAACTCCACTTTTTGTGATGGATGGTCCAACAAGATCAACTAAGCCAAGTTCCGACTCCAAGAATCCCCAGTCGACAACCTCCACTGCAGCCTCCATCTCGCCCTTCTTCCACACCTGTCTTTCCACACTCTTTCTTCTTCTGCCTCAATACATCTGAGGTGTACTTCCATGCCCACATGTCATAGCTTTAGTTCCATTCTAAATACTCTTTCTCAATAAATGTCTAATAAAACGATTCCCTGTGTTGTCTCCTCTGTCCACCAATACGACACCAAATGCCTCCCACTTGGCAGGTATTGCAGAACATGTCATTGACAATGCTGCAGCAGCAGCAGCAGCAGCATCAGCCTCAACACGAAGAAGCACACGCTTGCATGCACATTCCAGGGTGGGCCTAATTTCACATCCTCATCCTAGACGATTTGTGGTTGGGGTGCATATATTCTTGACAGATTCCCTCAAATAGCACCAGTCGCATGAGGATGACACGTCGATGTGAGCATCAACTTGGCTTGGAAACAATTCTCCATGCCTACCTCTAGTGGTGTTGTATTGTCAACGCAAACAAGGA